GACCTGATTTATAAATAATTGAAGTTGTTTAGTTTGTTATTTATATATAATAACTCTATGGTAAAAGATTATTTATAAATCAGGACGTACCTAAAATAACTATTTACATATCAACGGACAAGTTCCTGTGTCTTATTTATAAACAAATTTTGTGGCATTTCCAATTATTTATAAATAAGGGGAAAATGGCATAAATTCGGTCTAAATAATAAATTTACAAACGGCGCCCCATACCTAACTTATCAGAGTAATGGAGATGTTATTTTCGTGGCTTTCTCCGTCTACAGGATATCATTGTTTTGTCTCCAAATGTGAAATCAGAACTGAAATATAAAGTCGATAAACTTTTGTTTTATAGCTTTGCTTCTTTGTAATTATGATTACCCATAATGCCCCTTGGAGTGTGAACTCCTCTATAACTCTGAGCCAATAAGACATCAAGGGCCCATTAACCGACTCGTGGGCTCACTTGCGCATGTTGCTAAGGAGGTGAAATTTCACTTCAGGTTACTTACGTCAGCCTGAGCGTGGAAAATAACAATAACTCAATAACTTGCAAATTCGCTTACATTTTAGATGTTTTTTCTTTGTGTTTCACAAATGCAAAATTAAAAAGTACAAGTAAATACAAAAGAAGAGAAAAACAGAAAAACAAGAGCAAAAGAAAGTGAAAAACTAACTCCATGTCGCTTTGTTTGATCTTACCGAAGTGTACTGGTAGTGTAAATTGTGCATGCACTGATAGCGTAACTTCCAATATATATCAGGCGCACTTCCGGTTTCTTTAAGTGGTAAAGGAAACACAGTTTTAATTAAATCCAGCCTTTTTTGAAACGTTTCGATTAAAGCCAATGGTGGAAACATAGACATTCATTCCTTTTTACAAATCATGCTTTTTTCACAAAATTACAAATTTTTCAATATTTTGAAATTGTCTCAAAATCTGACCTTTTAGGAATGAAACAAAATCTATGCATAGTGTAATGAGGATTAAATTTAAAATATTTCATGTAAATCAATGAAAAAAATCCTGATAAAGTAATTTACCTGGGAGCCTTTGCTTCATTATTTAATTAGTTGCATGACCAATGGCGTGGCCTAATGATGTCATCACTCTGGTGTTACTGATCATGAAAAAGTTAAAACACAAGAAATAACTCTGAATTACCAGTAACTAAAAATGTTAGGGTTATATGAGAACAAATTTTCCTAAGCAACGGCTTGAAAAGATCTGTTAATGGGTCCTTAAGCTTGACACTTAGTCACCTACTGATTGACACAGATCCTGTATTCTACTAACTTAAAGGCAGTATGGACTAAACATGGATTTCAATTTTTAAACAGTTTGATGTGAGCACGCTATTACCTATCTGTTAGAGTCATGCATATAATTGTTTATTTCTTCAATGATTTGTCCCATTCAAAGCTTAAATTAGCACTGAGGAAGGGCTAGGCCCAAAATGTCTGCTCTATAATTGAATTTATTTTGGCACTGAATTATTATTATTATTGATTGATTAGCTTGATGGAGTGGCAGGAGAAGATGAGCGTTCCAAAAGAAAAGAGCAATTGTTACAAGTAGCACAACGTGTGCAATCTGAGTATTCTTTTAGATACGTGGCATCAGGGAGTGAAAGCCAAGAGGATTTATCCGGATTGTCATCAACAGATGAGTACGTATCTCTCTGTTACTATGCTTGCTGTGGTTCATCAATTTAGCAGGCTGTGTTCTATTGTAAGGCCTGCTAAAATTTAAAGCTGTTGTTGTTGCAAAAAATTTTTGTGATTTATCGGCAAGAGTCCTTAACTTTTACAGCAAGTTAGTAAAAGTTAGTAAATTGTGTATTAAAACGTGCTAACGACTTAGCCCTTAGGATACACAGTAGAGATATTTTTTTATACTGTAAACTGCTGCTTATAAGCCCTGGGTTTATACAACTTTGTAAGGGCTTATATAAAGACTAAGAGCTTATATCCGAGGGGACTTATAACCGGAACAAAAAAACTGTTTCAAATGAGCTATAGCTGTGTTGATCAAAAAAGGTTTTTCATGTGCTGGTTTTTAAATAAGCTTTAAAACATCATCATAAAATAATTCCAGAACAAGGAAAGCTAGAGGGGGGCTTATCACCAGATGTATTTTGGGGTTTACAGGTAGATGGGCCTATGACCAGGGGAGGGGAGAGGGGCTTATAAGCTGCACTTAATGGTATAATACAATGTAAATATCTTACTAACCTTGCCTTCTCGGTCCCTACTGTAAGTTACAGATCCTCCCATTTTTCCCCTTTAATTTGTGCCCCACACACTTCACTCTTTAAGCATAAATTGAGGGGGGAAACTTGGTCCGTGGCTTACTGTATGAACTTCGAACTCGGTTAGTTAGAGGTATTAATTAACAATACAGTGGAATCCCTATTTTTTTGAACCTCCGAGGAAAACCAAATTTGGTTTGAAAAATCAGGGTTGAGTAAAATTCAGTGTTTGATTGAGGGGAAGGGACTTTTGGTTAAGGTTATCAGGATGTTCGAAAAATTAAAGGTTTGAAAAATGGAAATTCCAGTGTATTAGATTATAAACTGGAGATTTCCATTGGATGATATGTACAGTGCTTTCAATAAATTTTGAAGTACATGTAGTTGGCCTCTCCGGTGGAGTACTCACAGATCATATGTACTAAAGGCATCGGCGGTCAAGTGTCGATCGATGCCCTCGATCCATACTCGACTAACATCTCAGTTGACACTCAATCAACACTTTGTCGACATCTTTGTTGACAGTTGGTTGAGAGTCAATTAATTTTTGCAGACATGCCATTGAGTGTTAATCTATACCTAGGAATCGGTCAACACTCAGCCAACTATCAACTGACTGTTGATTGAGTGTTGATTGAGAATCGACCCCTTAAGACCCTTTTTATTCTGCATGAACATGCTCCAGACATACTCCTCCCAAACATGCTCCTGAGTTCTAAGCCAATCAATATTAGACTCATACCCATTGTTCATTTTCCTTCCTTTGTTTATCTATCAGTCAGTGTAAAACGCAGACTGACTGCAAACTGCAGACTACAGACCAGGGGTAAAATGCGTGCTGAGGGTAAAATGTAGACTGTGGACTGCAGACTGGAGTCTGCAGGGTTACAATGCAGACTGCGAACTGCAGACTACAGACTTTTTGAGAGTATATCGTGTTATTTCAGTTATCGAGTGCTAACCTTAAACAGGGTTCAAATGAATATATGAAAGATCATATACTTGAACTGGGGAGAAAGATATAATGACATGATTGATCAATGGTTTAAAACCTGTTAACAACTGCATCGCAAAATGGAGGCTGGGTGCCTGTGATATCCAGGAGCTTCCACTATTGCCAGCCAGCTCCTAGATGGAGACTGCTCCCATGGCTGGCAAATCCTGGCANACGCCGCTGACTCCAGACAACACTGGCGCTCTTTGTTGTTAACTCCGTTAAATTGCATTTAACTGCATTTCAGGCCTGAATTGTTTTCAGGCTTTAATTTCACAACTGCTTAAGTTGTGTGTATAACTGCAATGATCAATCATGTCTTCAGGCTAGTCTGCACTCTGGTTAGCCTGAATATCACTCATGTTAGCCTAAATAATGCTCTGGTTAGCCTGTTTATGGTTACATGTAGCTTTCAATGATGGAAGTGGTAACACAATTCTCAGTTAAAAGGTCTACAGTCTGTAGTCTGCATTTTACCCCTGGTCTTCAGTCTACATTTTACTCCCGATCCATAGTCTCCAGTCTACACTGACTGATTTATATATTGAAAATCTGCAAAAATTGAAGTTGACAGGTAAGGAAAACAAAACACATACTGTCGGTAATAACATAATTTATCTCTATTTTTGCAGGCTGCTATCTAATCTTAAGGCAGGTGTTTTCAGGTACACATCTAAATGGATTTACTTCCCAGGGAGGGCTCCCATGTGAAAAGGTTGGGGATGTTCGTCAAAAAATTTGAATGAAACTCCTAAAAAAGGCTTATCTGGGCATGGCTTGAGCTTTTTTTGACCCCTAAAAGATACCACTTAAAACAGAATTGACTTAATTACTAGCCACTTTTCAAGAAGGGAGCGCGTGCTAGTAGACCGGATTTGAGAGACTGGTGAAAGGCCTAAAAATGGAAATAAGAACGCTTTTTTTATTATTGCTTCTTCGAGTGCACCCTAAAAATACTTTGACAGCTAAAAATAATGGCGTCTCGTCATGTCCACCCTAAGTGAAACCAGAATCCTTGATTTATATTCTTAAGTGAGATGACAAACATCTCCGACCTTTTCATATCGTAAGTCTCTCTGGGTTTTACTGCAGAAATTCTTCTGATGATTAGTGGTGATAGTTGGCCTGTGATTGGTCGGAGTGGACCAAATGTTTGTCTACAGTATTAGTGGAATCCATTGTGATGAAGTTAGTGAGCAAATTGTCTTGTAGAGCAACCCTTCTAGATAATATGGTGCAGAGGCTTGGGGTAGAAAATGAATTAGAGAAAACTATTGTTTCTTGGCCATCCCTCAACCACAACAACTTACAAGGGGGATTCCCTCAAATTAAACTCCTCTCCCCCCTCAGTTTCTCCTTTGCTAAGCTGTAGGTGTGACTTTTCCTGTACACCCAACGGTTATGAGGATTTCCATTATACTGAGGAAGTTCCATGTTGTTGTAATTGGTACACACATAGAGAATTTTTAACTGTTACACCTGTAATTATGTTCATTTCCTGCGGGTTAACAGACTTTCGTCAGGAAACCCATACAAAGCTGAACGTGTTGTTCTTTGGAAGGGATTGGCAAAGTAAGATAAATTACATATTCAATAGTCTACATGTATGCTGTAAATAACCACATAACTCCCCTGTCTATAAGCTAGGTCACCGCTTTTTGAACAAGCTGTCCCTGGCCAGGTCAAATACCCTCCCCCCCCCTCCCTGCTTCTCTTTCTCTCTCTCCCCTCTGTGCTCTTTGTGAATCCTCATCAAGCATGATAGGCAATGCTACACATGCAATAAATGACCAAAGTTAATACTAATGATGTTTGTTTTATCTGAGTCATGTTCATGCTGTTTACATATCCAACTTCAAACTTGCTTTTTTGCTTGCAATACATACAAACAAGTATACATTACATGTTTCATGAATTTTGTTTGCTGAACTTTGGAATAAGCTCCCCCTGCTCAAATAAGTGCCTTGTCTACCAGGACAGTTTTGGAATACACCCCCTTGGGTGTTTACTAAAAAATCTTATCCCAACAAAAGCCAAATTACAGCTTTATAAAGCAGCTATCCTACCTCACTTAATATTTTGTCATCTAGTCTGGCATTTCTGTCGTGCAAGTGACACATGTAGATTGGAGAGAATACAAGAAAGAGGATTAAGAGCAGTTTTTAAAGATGATCGATCAAGCTATGACGTTTTATTAACGAGGGCAGAGCTACCTACTTTAAAAAACAGGCGATTACAAGATATATGCATACTGATGTATAAGGTTAAAAATGGGCTTAGTCCTAATCCGATCTGTGAGCTATTTAAGCCCCATCAGTCGTCCTACAGGCTGAGGCAATCAGACTTTTCAATGCCCCGCTTTGCTACAGTAATGTACGGAAAACATTCCATCAGATACCTGGGGCCAAAGCTCTGGAGTCACCTGACGACCGATGAAAGAAACTGTCAGTCTCTTAATACATTTAAGAAAAC